CCGATTCTCGATGGCTCAAATTACACCATTTGGAAGATGCGTATGACGTCCTACATTAAATCTATTGATGGACGGGCTTGGTTATCTGTACTTTCCAGATGGGAGCCTCCTACTATAGAAATTGAAGGGGAGAAACACGAGAAAAATGAAGCCGATTACAGTACGGGTGAGAGCACGTTGGCCAACTTCAATTCAAAGGCACTCAATGCAATTTTTGGCACAGTCGATGAGAACATGTTTCGCTTGATTAGCACGTGCACTACTGCCAAAGATGCATGGGACACCTTGCAACGCCATTGTCAGGGTTCGAGGAGTGTTTGTCAAACAAGGCTACGTCTTCTTGCGGCAAAATTTGAGACAATACGAATGCTCGAAAACGAGAATATCTCGTCATACACGGCCAAGTTGATGAGTATTGTCAATGAATGTCACTCTCTTGGGGACCCGATCTCTAATGAAAGGCTCGTGGCAAAAGTAATGAGATCTCTTTCAAAGCGCTTCAACATGATGATCACGGCGCTTGATGTTTCGAAGGATGTGACGACTATTAAATTTGATGATCTTGTTGGCTCTCTGAAGACGTTCGAGATGAATCTTAAGGTGCAAGATCTCGAAGAAAAGAGTGCACCTTTCGGAAAAGGGAAGGGGATCGCCCTTCAGTCTATGTCCGAGAATGATGATAACTTGGAGAATCTAGTTCGTGATATGAAGGAAAATGATTTTGATGAAGAAGGAGTTGCACACATGACGAGACGCTTCACATCATTGCTAAAGAGAAGAAATTCTCAAACCAACTCCCAAGCCTCGAGGTCCCGAGGGCCAAGGTCATTCACTCCACCTCATTCGAACCGATCGAATCCAACCGGTGAAAAGGCCAAACTCAATGATAGGAGAAAGTTCACCCCGAAGTCACTTGAGACCGTCCAATGCAATGCTTGCAAAGGGTATGGGCACTATGCAAATGAGTGTGCTAATACCTTGCGCAAAAGAGGCTTGAACTTCAACGCCACTTTGAGCGATGATGAAGAATTTGATGACGGCTCCGCTGAAAGTGAAGCTGAAAATGACGGGGATGCTGCCTTTGTGACCACTGTGAGCGAATTCAGGCCCAAACAAATTGATCCAGCAGGTGTCAGCCGAGGTGTCGCCCGAAGTGTTATGACACCTGGCAGGTATGAAAATGAAAATTCTAAATTTTTTTGCCTTAACACCTTGTTTTGTGACTCTTCAGGCAGGGATATAGGTCCTCCGAGCAGCCTTCAATTTGTTAACTTTGATGATCATGAAAAGGTGTACGTGGAACTTCATAAACGCTATATAGATGCCGTCTACGATGCGGATAGGCTCGAGAAGGAGAACAGTAAGTTAAAGGATGAGAATAAGAGGATGAAGTCGGAGGCTAAGAAGTTGGAAGAGGAGAACGATGCTTTAAAGTCTACCATAACCCAATTGGAGGTGACCATCTCTGGCCATGACCAAAAGTTGGTGAAGGTAAGAGAGGAACTTGAATACTCCCGTCAGACCTTCCAACGACTTAACACAGGTAAGAGCCAATTGGATGTCCTAGCTGCTCTTAAACATAATCATAACAAAGCGGGACTTGGGTTTAAGCCTACCATATTTGTGCGTCCATCGGAGGAAACAGGTAAGTATGACTCAAAATCCACGCCTAAGGTTTTTAAGAATACTAAACAACGAAGGCGTCGGTATGTTTGCCATTATTGTCATGCACCCGGGCACATTAGACCTTATTGTTATAAATTGCATTCATTTGATAGGTCTTTTGAACCAGAGGTGTCTCCCGTATCTCGTAATATGCCCAAAAATCACGGAAGTAGGACTAAAGAAAAATTTGTTTGGGTACCAAAATCTGAGTTGAAATGCAATGTTATTCATACTTCTTTGAAGTCTAATATTGCAGGATCATGGTACTTTGATAGCGGGTGTTCGCGGCACATGACCGGCACTCGTGATTTCTTGTCTGACATAGAATCATATGAAGGTGGACGTGTTACGTACGGGGGAGGCGAACATGGGAAGATCATAGGACGGGGAACACTCAATGTTGATGGCCTCCCAAAGCTTCAGAATGTGTTTTTGGTTGATGGACTTAAGGCTAACTTGATTAGCATAAGTCAACTTTGTGATGATAACCTTCATGTGAAATTTGATAGTAAGTCTTGTGAAGTTTTTGATGAGTCTAAGTTATGTATTTTGACAGGTGTGCGAACTACCCAAAATTGCTATCGAGTAAAATATGCTGAGGATGACGTTCGGGACGTGTTGGACCTTCCGCTACAAAGTGCTGCTCCAGATGTCGTCCCAGATGTCGCCCCAGATGTCATGACACCTGACACGACACCAGACACAGCACCTGAGGCAACACGTTTTTCCGACGACCAGAATACCACTTCCGAGGCTGAGACACGATCTGATGGTGCTGTTGCTGGTCGGGAAAGAGTAGTTCGGAGATATCATCCTTTGTCGGGATCCTTTGGTGAGGTAACAAAAGTAGATTGTTTTATCCCATGGTAAGAAAATTGTGTGGTATTTTCAGTAGTGTTAATGATAATCTTTTTGAGAGAATTCTTGTGAATAATATGGTGTCTTTGCATGATATGAGATTAAATGTTTCTTGTTGTCGACTTTTACGAATAAATCAAATGATTGAGAATTATTGCCGACATAGTGATTTCTTAACCGTATATTGTGATAGCAAGAGTGCAATTGATATTTCAAAAAATCCGATTCAACATTCTTGCACAAAACACATAGATATAAGACATCACTTTATTCGGGATGTAGTTGAGAAATACATATTTTGCATTGAGTACATAGGGACCGAGAATCATTTAGCGGATATATTCACCAAGACATTAGATTATGAGGGGTTTTCTAATTTAAGAAAATCTCTCGATTTTTGCATTGTTTGAACTAGAATAGGAATCGTGTTGCAACTTCCACGATGCATCATCGTTGTAACACGAGTTTTGCATACATGCATTTTTTTATTTCTTTTCATTCATAATTGCATTATTATTGCATAAACGGTATGTTCGTTGGAGGCATGAAGTTGTAGTGGTGCATTCTTTCACTTGATAAATGGATTGTTGGTCGTTCTTTCAAAAAAAAAGAAAAAAAAAATGGGTGTCCAGCTCCATTTCCTCGTTTTACCTTGTTTTTTTTGTGAGATTTGAGCCGATGAGCATACATTGATATCATGTTCCATTTCCTTGATTGTGTGTGTCATGACTAGTTGATTTTTCCAAAACTTGCTTTGGTATGCACGTCTTTGTTTACTCCCTTGATGAATTTGGATGCACGATATCATAATAAGGGTATAGGATTTTAGCCATTTGTTTTACCTTTTTCTTGGAAGCC